TAGCAATTAAATTGTTTTTTTTTTAAATAGCAAACTCAAGATACAAAGTGGATTTTTTTTTGATTTTGTAACAAATGAAGCTACTATTTTTATTTACAGTATAAATAAGCTGGGTTTGTTTTTTTTTTGGTGAAGATAATGTCCTGCCACATGTGTGTAAGACAAGTAGTATCTCAACTCTTCAAAGCAAACAAAAGCATAAAAGAAGCAATATCAAAGTAAAACAATATATTATTTATTTATATTTATGTATGTATGTGTATATATATGTGTGTGTGTGTGTGTGTGTGTGTTTGTATGTGTGTGTGTGTGTTTGTGTGTGTGTGTGTGTGTGCGTGCATGTGTATCTTCAACTAAGATGGCTGAGTAACCATATGTCTCTTATTAGATCTGGAATATATCTCATTCCAGTCAGAAGTTCACTTGGGTTTAGCCATTAGGACTACCATGAATGCTTATTCTTCTGCTGCTCTAGCGAGCTGTTTCCCATACAAGCTCATGACATGGTGGACAAACTGATACTGTTCACAAGTCTGGATCATTCCTCCCCTGAAAAGGAAAGCAGAGAAAGGGAAGGGGAACAGTACTTTAATTACCTATATTGTTGTACTCAGTAGTGCCATGGCTAAAATGAAATTGGAACTATGCACCAAGATTATATTCCAAAATCCACCAAGGTCAACAGAAAATCTCCCATTGACTGCAATAGGCTTTGGATCTGACTTTGGTTGGCATTCAAAATAGAAATCCATTTCACCTTCCCTTTCCCCCTCAGTAAGGCTCTAATTCCCTGAAGATACTATTATCAGTTATTATTTCTAGTAATGACAGTTACACAGAGGCCACAGTCCCCCCCCCACAAATGCTCTAAATAGAGAGAGAAGGCAGGCAGAACATATAACAGGAAAGGGGTGAGGCGACTTGCCCAGTTCTAGGCCTGTGATATCACAGGATGGTGTGTTTTGGAATAGCCCCAGTGAACTAGGGAGAGCCAAGAAGATTTCAGAGTAGACAAACAAATTTCAGCAAAGAATAGTTTGGAAACTGGTGACTGAGCTGACAACATCCTGCTTAGCAAAGACTTTCAACACAAAAATCTGGCCTTCTTCAGCTTTCATTTCAGTTTTGGTATTTGCCTTTTAAAGCCATATTGCAAACTTGAAAAGCAAATGAGTTACTCTTTACTAATGATATAGCTAGGCAAGAGAAAACATATGGATTGTTTTTCAGTGTATCCTTCTATTTTAGCAAGCAGCATATTAGGAAACATACAGATTTATAGCAGGAGCTGGAGCTTAGCAAAAGGGAATGTGGGTAAAGATGTTCAGTGTTGAATAGGATGTTTTTACCATTACCTAAAGTTTTGCTATTAGCTTCTCACAATATCTAACAAATATTGTGATAAAAGTCTACTGATGGCCCAATAACAAAGTGGCTAAAATCCATGCACATGAAAAATACAATGAAACAAAAGAGGTTTTAATTCACCAAGGGTTTAAACAGAATTATGCCAGCAGAAGCACTGGTTCACTGATTTAAAAACTGTGGTGGTGACCTCACTTACACTGAGGGATGGATGATGGAAGTTGCAGGGGCTACCACTGCCCTCTTACAGGGTCTACTTTGGGCTGGGAGAAACATGGCAGTGCCTTATTTCATACAATCCTGCAGCAGCCTCCACCAGCAGTGGAGTTTCACAGGAAGTTATGGAAAGCTTCTTAGACCTTAAATGCTGGAGGCTGCAAGTGAGGGCCTTGTTACACGTTATACTGTGAGCCCTGCAAATGGTTACTGGCTTAGTGCTAGCTTTGCAGTCATACCTTCAATTTGAGCAGCTCATCTGTGGGGAGTGGCCACACCTTAATGCAACGGGAGCTGGGTTACACAGAGCAAGAAATAATCCTGCCCTGGAGTGGCGTAACTTTGAGCCACATAACGAGTGCTTTAAACCACTAAAAGGTGTCAATGTGCAGACAATCCAGGAGTTAAGAGCTCTGGAAGCTACCCAGGATTAGTGCGTAGGCCCTGAGAGAGGAAAGGTGGAGAAAACCCTGGCCATACCCCAGTCACTCTCCCTTTCAGCATCTACTCTCTGCCCCTGTGTGACACAGGCTACTGGGCAAGGTGGACCTATGGTCAGTAAATGACAGTTCTCCTGCTCTTATGTTAAAGCTGCTTCCTCTTGGCCCTAGGAAGAGTAGACAGCATTCCCACCAACTGCTCTCCCCTAGCATGAGCTGCCTTTGTGGCAAAAAGGGCCTGGTTGGCACAGGGAAATATAATATACCTGCTCCAGCTCCAGCGAATATCTTACAAATACTAACACTACAACTGAAGGGCCAGACTGGGTACAAAGGATCTCCTCCCAGACTCCACTGGCTGAGGGAACCCTATTTTGATAATCCTTATTTTTTTGATCTGCTGTATGTGAAACAACATCACTATTTATCTGTGTCAAAGCGCGTCTGCTGGTCATGGCACTGAAAATATATTTTCGACAGTCTATGACACACAGGGAATGTTAGTCATATCTAGTGATTACTCCCCATGCAATTCCACTAGGAGCTAGGTTGTATCCTAAAGTTATGGCAACAGAAGCAGAAGAGTGGCCATCTAGTTTCAGAACAGTGGAAGTAATTTTACTTTTATCTTATTCTCCATTGTGCTGTGGCTTCCTCTCCTTCCTACACACACCTGCCTCATGACAAGCGATAGTTGTTCAGAGTTTAGTAAAGACTAGATAAATTATATTTTCACCCACGTTTCCACAGAGACCTTCTGGAAACCACCTCTCAAACACTGGTTGCAAGGAAGCTGGAAATACCACTCTCCTTTGTCACATCAACTTTATTTTCAGGAACAAATGCCAGACTCCCGTATAGTATCTAATGCTTAGACCTTGTGAAAGTGAACCATACGGTGTTAGCAAGAAGAAATCTTTGTCCCTCCAATCAGACAGCGAACTGAAGAACAGCCCACTGGTTTCTGTAGGGGCCAATGTCCTTATGCTCCCAAATGGGGTAATAGCAAGTGGATCCACTTAGTCTCAGATCTTGTTCTGCCATACAGCAGTACTTTGCAGAGACAGGTGGAGATATCTAAGCCCATCATGCCTGAGGTTCTGTGCTGCCTCTGTCCCTCACAACTACCAGTTATGCAATGTAATTCCCTTTGGGCCCCTCTGCAGCTCACGTGGCTGGAAGTATCTGTCCCTAAATGTTTAGGTGCAGAGGACACGTCTCTCGAAACAACAAAGGGAAGTGTTTGAAGGCGGCTGTCAGCAGCACCACCCTTTTACTGTGCACACCTTATAACACCTGATACCAGAGTGGCCCAGAAGACACACTCATGTCTTCATATCCTAGGCCAACAATGTACATCATTTCATTTTAGGAAAGTCAGCTTCCCAAGCTCAGATATTGCACATCAGATATTTCACCAAGGGCATGTCTACATGTTCATCAATGTGCCATAATTGCAGTGCGTTAACTTTAGTGCCTGCAATGACACATTAGCACAGATGAATGCTTTGTTAATGACGTTAATATGCATTAGACTAAACCTATCAAGCATTAGTGCATTAGAATGGGTTTTGCCCGCTGTGCTAATACGCAGTAGAATTCGTCTTCTGCACATTAAGCATCTCATGTAGACGCACCCCAACAAGCTGAAACTCCTCCCTGCAGTTCCCAAGCAAGGAGAGGATTCTTAGGGCTAATGCTCATACCTCTATTGCTCTACACGGATCAAGGCGTTTTCCTGCAAATGCTCACACTGACTAATAATAACTTCACTTCCTACAACACCTTGTTCAAGTTCCTGGAGTCTCTTGCCTTCCTGTCATCCTGTTTATCCTGCTTATGAAACTTGTCCAGTGATTACTGGCCAAAGACACCACTCCCAGCTATGCCAGGGATGGGCAATTATTTGGGCCTGTGGGCCACATAGGCAGTTCAGGGGAGCTCCCATGGGCCAGTCAGCACCCCCCCGCCAACCCCAGCAACAGCTCAGAGCCCGCACACTACTGCCAACAGAGCACAGCCACAGCCCTGACCCCAGCCCATCCTACATCTGCTCTGAACTCACCCCGGCTGGAGTGGACCAGCCCAGAACAGTGCACACAGCCCAGAACCTGGCCCACCCTGTGCCTGCTCCAATGCTGAGCACTGGCAGGACAAAAGCTGCTGCTCAGCATAGGGGAAAAGCGGCCTCTCTCCCTTACTGCTGTGGGGCCCTTCTGGCTACAGCTGTCCAGAGCCTGTGCCCAGGCTGCCCTGCAGCTCCTCTCTGCTGCCATCACTGATGTCTCTGGGCTACCCAGCAGGGCAGCGGTGGCAATAGAGGGGAGCCACAGGTCATGCTAGGTGCAGGTCATCCCAGACAGTAGCAAGGTGGAGAGGCCACATTTCTCCCCCACCAAGCAGCAGATTGTCTAGCCACCACCACTGCTGCCACAGCTCAGCATAGGAGAGTCTAGAGCAGGTGTGGGGCAGCCCAGCATCCAGGCGGTGCGCACGGGTTCCAGCTGGTCTGCTCTGCTGGGCTGAGTTCAGAGTGGGTGCAGGGCAGGCTGGGGTTGGAGTGTGCACATGAGTCCCTGCCAGTACCATGGGGCCCAGGCCAGCAGCAGCGGCAGCTGGAAGGAGTTGCCACCTGGGTTGCCTAGAAAGGCAGTCCAGGCAGAGCCACACTGTGTGCCCACAGGGTGGTGGGACATGCCACAGGCTGGATGGTGCCGGGGCTAGGTGGGACCAAGGGACCTACCACTGGCTGGACAAAGTCCCTCCATCGGCTGGATCCAGCTCACAGGCCATATTTGCCCACCCCTGAGCTAAGCACTTTGAAGTGTTTGTCTCTAAAATTACCGCTTCTCATGCCAAAGTAGGAGCTAGTGATGGGTTCATGCAGATGGCAGGAGATAGACAAAGGCACAGGTAGATTTGAAAGGGCTATCAGCCCCTTTCTTCATTCCCTAACAACTTAGCACCCCTTGCAGTGAGGACAGGATTTGACAGTATCCCTCATCCTTGCTGGGCATCTATTCTCTCTTATGCCATTCATTCTGCTTATCCCTATCCAGAGATAGTGAAGGGCAATCCTCACTCACAGTCTCCATCTGCCTACCATAGCTGTGGCTTCTTTAGCACTTTTTGGTTTGATCCAGGTCTGATGAAACAGCAAACGTTAGACACATTTAAATATCCATTGTGCTCTCCTTTTCTCTTCTTTTGAAAATGACTTTGCCAGCACCCGCCTCCCTGCAAGGCTAGTATTCTTTAAATGTGCCTCATGTACCAAACCTGTTTTTGACTGGACATCCTTGACGTTGTTTGCTTCCGTGGCTCTCTGCCTGTGAAGCACATCCCTGTGTTACTCACAGACAGAAGTCAGTAGAGGGCATTTCAGACCTAGTGAACCTCACAGTACTGTGACAAACCAATGGTTTATTCTTACTTTTTATTTTCTTTCCTTATTTCTCATGTGGACTTTCATTGTCTGGGCTGACATCCACTGAAACAGCCAAATCACCAGGGCCTCTGCAGGGCTCTGCCTATCAGGACCTCAGCGGGCTGACAAGCATTTCATTTTCTGCCTCCCACTCATAATTGCTCCTCTGAAATAAAGTTCAGTGTGGGGTTGAGGTTTCCTTTTTCTTTTTTTTAATCTTGGGTGTGTTTTTGGTGACATTCCTTCCCTTGACTACATTTATCATTATCATTAGAGAGAGCATTGAGATATGTTTTGATGCAGCTTGAAACCAGTGGGAGAGGAAAAATCATATCTTGGTGCAAAATTCAAGTCTCTTTATTTTGTAGTCAGAATCAAACCAGCATGATAAAGAATGCTTAAACAGAACCATTTGATTTTGGAGATCTTCGTGCCTCTATTTGCATGTCTGTAAACACTTTTGCCTGTGTGTATAAATGACATTCCCCCTGTCCATAACCCGAGCAGCTTCCATACAGTCAGACCCTTTCACCACTGCTTACACAGCCAACCAGAATAGGACTTTTTTCTTTACTTCTTCTGTTTCACCTAATGGTTGCAAGCACATCTGTGATTCTGAGACTAGTTTCTGTAGGGGTCAGCCTTGTGGTGGGCAGCAGGACTCCCAGCCTTATTCCTTTGGTTAGAACAGCAGGACCAGATCCTCAAAGGGTATAAATCAGTTGTAGCTTCATTAAAATCAATGCAGCTATCCATATTTATGCCAGCTGAGGATGTGGACCAGTTGTGACTTGCTGAAGCATTCTTTCTCTGTTGGGATTTTAGGGGGACAACAGATTAATATCAGAACATAGGCCGGAGTTGCTTTTTAATGGGAGTTTATCTCTTAAGTCACTTGGACTCTGAACTTTATTTCAAAGCAACAAGTAAGTTCTGTTGGAGACAAAAAGTCCTACTCACTGGCCTGTGTTTGTTTTTCTTTCCAATTCTCGTTTCTTTTCCTCTTAAATATGTGGAATGCATATATTCACATATTTTATTTTGGAAAGGAAGAGAATTCCCTTACCTGTCTAGTCGTAACTGGCAGGTTGTTCGCAGTATGTCAACTATGCCCTCATTCTTCAACTCTTTACAACAAATGCTGGTGGCAATGAAGCAGCCTGTCCTTCCAATCCCTGCACTGAAGAGGTGGAAAATAGGGAAAGTGGGGGCAAACAACCCAAAAAGGAAAAGCATTAGAATTTCATGTGTTATGTACATAATGTGTGGTCAAATGCACCCCCTCCCTTTGCCCCTCCACACCCTTCTGGATGCATGTGCCCATGTGTGTGTGTGCCTATTTCAAGGTATAAATATTGCTAACATTCCACATGTGTGAACAAATATTAACAGGTAGTAGCCCCCAAAAGCATTACTTGGCAACAAAGGCATTTTAAAGATGTTTATTCAGAGAAAAAGATATCATCTTGTGCGGCTGTATCATGCAACGACACGGAGGTTCAGGGTTTGAACCCCAAGCACAGACCATACTGTTGCAAGGGAGATGAGGAGGAGGAAAGGAGTACTTTGCAGTGTACACCACTGGTTATTCCATTGCTCAGACTGGTTGGGAAGCAGCACCCACAAATTCAAACTGGAGGGAGTGGCAGACTGCCCCTGTGGCAAGGGGCTTTTATTAAATGGGATGGATGTGCTCTTGTCTCCACAACAGCAAAATGCCTATTCTCAGAGAGGCAGAGACTGAAGTAATTCTTTGCCTTGGTCGCTCCATTGCTGATGGGGCCAAACAAGTACAGAAACTGGGTGTCTCATGGTGAAACAGGGATGGTTTTCCTACTGAAAGATTACACAACTGAGTGGGAATACATCTCAGTGGACAGGACAGGCAACATGCAGCTATCTTTCCATTGGGAGAATCTTATAATAGGGAACCACGTAGAAAGGAGAGACTGTATTTACATAGTCAGATGTGTGCAACCTTACCTAAAAAGCACATTGCTGATCAAACACAGGAAGGCAAAGTATCTTACATTTAATAAATGCTACTGCTATATTATCTAGCTCTCATTTTAAAGCAACTGCTATTTCCTTGGGTATCAGAACAGAAAATACTAAAAGATGACGAGAAAGTAAAGGCTAGTTTCTAACACAGGTTCAAGGCCTGCCTAGGGAGAGTCCTTTTACAAAGTTGCATGGCCACACTAGCCTTGGACACATGGGCCCTGCATGCCCACTGCTCTGTAACTGAGCAATGGCCACTGAGCAAGTGGTTGAGGCTGGACAATATGAATAAGACCACCAAGAAAGGACTGTGTCATCCTGTGGCAATGAGTAGCAGAACTGCTTAGAGATATCTTCTTTTCTTCCCTGGGAAGCTCCTAAACTGTTGTAGATGCATGTGCCACACATAGGGCTTGCAAAACTGAAATTGTGCCCTCAAAAAGACCAGGCACAAAAGAGATGAATAACAGGTTTCTCCCATTCCCAGTGAGGACAGTGCTTCATAATGTGTGTAATGGACAGGCAGAGCAAATCAGCCTGTAATCACAAACATATTTTTTTTCAAAAGACATTAGTACTGAGATGAAGCAAGCAGTACAGAGTACAATGCCGAAGAGACCTTAAGTGGACCCTCTGGCCTTTGTCAGGCTTCTGATGGCAGTGTACCACTTAAATAATAAGCAACAAATAACTTTTATTTCTTAGGCAAAATTTAGCTTGAAAGATACCCCCCTTGTGCAGTTCTCCGAGAGCTTCTCTGAACAATTTTCATTCATGCGTGTTGTGATAAACATTGCTTAAATAATTATGGTGAACAGCAATATGGCAAGTCTGATGCCATTTGCAAAGTCATTCAGATCAGAAATCTTATAACTCTCTCGAGCTGTGCAAGATTCAACAAATTAGAGATTTTTTTTCTTATTCTTTATCAATGAAAAAGTATTTTTCTTTTCAGCCGCTTCAGTCATTGGTTAAAAAACAGAGCTGATGTTGTGCTGTTAAAGTGGCAACAAGAAGCTGTGAACTCTTCTTACCACCTTAATGAAGAATCAGCTGCAAAGCTGACAATACTCCTGCATGTTAAATAATTAAGTAAGCAGTCTCAAGAATAATTACCTTACACAATTGCCAGAGAACTTCCCTCTGTTTAAGCAGTGTTAAAGTCATAGGAAAAAAACAGCAACAAGTGTAGAGAAAACAATGGGGCTTACACAAGGTTGCTGTTAGCAAAATTCTAGTGAGATTTCCTTCACTGGCACAGATGGGCTTATGACCACATCAGCAACATTTTCATGCAGAAATTCCTATTCATGCTCACAACAACTGTGTTGTAATGGTTTTAAGCTGTGGTAAGATGAATTCAAAGAGGAAGCATGGTTTTGCTCATAAGGCACTGGACTGGGGCTATGGAGAGCAAGGTTTAATACCTGGTGCTGCCATTAATACCTGTGAAAAGCCTTAGCTGAATCATTTAGATTCAGGCTCCATTTGGGTCCTTAGGTCTAAATGGAAATCAATGGGGCACAGGTACCTAGGTACTTTTAAAAATCTAGCTATTTTCTCTACCTACCTCACTTTCCAGCCTTTTGCTCCTATTTTGTATCCCATTTCCCATTTTTTCTGCCTATTGTATCTGTTTAGATTATAAATGATTCAGGCCAAGGATTACCTCATACTCTGTGTACCAAGAGCCAGGTACTCAGTCCCCATGGTTTGTGCATATCTCTATGGTAATAATGCAGATAGCTAACAATAAAAGAGAGATCTTTCATAATGCCGGACATCCAGAGCTCAAGAATGTTTTACAAAGGAAGATAAGTAGCATCCTCATTTTACAGACAGAAAAACTAATAAAGAAGGGTGAAGTGATTTGTCGGTGGTCAGACTGAAAGCTAGTGGCAGAGAGAAGAACAGAGTCCAGATCTCCTGTGGCCAGTGACTTATCTATAAGACCAAATTGGAAAAGACAACCTACCTTTAACATGAAGCTGACTTTAGAGAACCCTTGAAAGGTAGGGACATTAAAAAGAAAGGAAAAGAAAAAAAATCTGTGCTATACTGTATTTAAGAGGGCTGAACCTACTAGCAGGTTTATGCTCTAATGCAGGGCCAAATCCTGCAAGGTGCTGCATCTTACTCCAAAGCCAGTGAAAATGTGGTTACCAGCATATCACAGGGCTTGGCTGATGGTTTGCAAGTGTCCAATATATGCAATATACTATATGCACTCCACATTTTTTATACAAAGGAATAAATAAGGACGTTTGAGAGTGCTCTGGCCCTCAGCCATCATCCTTGAGAGTGTCTCAGACAGTAACAGCAATTTCAAAATAAAACCATTTTGTGTGGGAGGGGGACTCTGATGGTGCCATCACCAAACACCCCCATCATTTACAACCATGCAGAGAAGTGGTGAGGTCCTGTAAGTGATCGTTGTACATAAAATGGGCTTATTTTGAAATTGCCATTCCTTTTTGAAACATCCTCATAAAATGCTTCAAAAGCCTGTCACTTCTTTCAATCTTTCAAACAAGTACCTAAGACTTTATTACAAATACTTAAGAGAAACACCCAAAGACCTATACTTCTACATATTAGATAGTTAGACAAAGCTGTAGGATTAAAACAAGCTTCAAAATCAAAATAGAGGGCTTATCAGTGGCTGCGTTCAATACTGTCTGTAAAAGAGATTCTCATAGATTCACAGATTTTAAGGGCCAGAAACCCTTACTATCATCATAAATCATTCTTCTAGCACTTTTCTGAACACTTTCCAATCTGTCATCATCCTTTTTGAAGGGAGGACACCAACACTGGACATCACAATCCCAGCATAGTCTCACCCATGCTGTATGCAGAAGTAACACCACCTTCCTATTCCTACTTGACGTTCCCCTGTTTATGCAGTCAAGGATCATGTTCACTCCTTTTGGCTACAGCAACACACCTGAAGCTCATGTTCAGCTCCTTATCTGCCATGACCTTTTAGCTCTTTTCAGAGTCACTGGTTTCCAGGTTACAGTCTTCCATCTTAAAAGTGTGACCTACATTCCTTGTTCCCAGATGTATGACCCTACATTTGGCTATGTTAAAATGCATGTTATTCAAATGAACTCACCTTACCAAGCAATCTAGGTCAAATTGGAAAATTTAATGGAACCCATCATTGTTTAATTCACCACCTTTTTATCATCTGAAAACTTTTATTAGCAATGATTTTATATTTTCTTCCGGATGACTGATAAATTTAACAATGGATAACAATTCCCATTTATGATTAACTGAAGTCCATCAGTTAATCAGCTTTTAAATCAGCAACTATGGGATGTGCTTTAATTATGCACTGTGCTTACTTGAATTAAGGACTAACCAATCATGACTAATGCAAATTCCTTGCAGAAGTTTATTACGGTATATCAGAACAGTAACCTTTAACAATCGACCTGCGATTCTATCAAAACGCTTTGTTTGTTTCCATCAGACCATATGACTGACAACAGCTATGCACCTATCCTTTTAACTGATGACTGCACCTCATATCTCAGATCTGTCTTTCCATAATATTACCTGGGATGGATGCTAGGTTGACTTCGTTAGAGTTTTCCAGGCCATCTTATTATATTTTATAGGTATTGGCACGGCATTAGCTGTTTTCAGTCCTCTGGAACTGTTAATCTCAGCATTACTGGTTTAAGAAAGCGTGTGGGACAATTTGTTAAAAAAAAATATTTTGGGGCAAAAACTACACAGCTGATTTAAAAATGTTTAATTTCAAACAGTTGCTGTTTAACAGCCTCCTTGGTTATTGGTGGAACAGAAAGTTATTTCATCATTGCAATAAGCATCTTTCTAAAGCACATTTCATTCTTTTTCTTTCTGAAGCACAGTAAAAGTATTTAATTTTTGATGATTTTATCATCTTTGTTTGCTGCTGAACTCTCAACATTTTGAGGACCCTGTTTGTTCCTAACATTGTCCTTAACCCATTGGCCATAGATTTTTCAAGGATACTTTGGTTTCACTTATCAATTGTCTGTATAGTCTAAACACTGATTTGTACTAATTGCTATCAGATTCCCCATTGTTTTGCTTGTTATGCCTTTTTATTATGGTATCACTGTCTTCCGGAATTCTTTTTAACCAAAGAAGCCTTCTTGCATGAGTGCACAACTGTGGCTTTTGGAAGAGTCTAATGCATCATTTATATATTTATGCTGAAATACTTCTTTCCATTCAGTTGTGTTCATGATGGTAATCAGCTTTTGGGAAACTAGCATCTTTGAAGCCCTGAGTGTCTACCAGTACGTATGGCTATATTTTGGTTGCAGGAAGCAAATGGAATTAGAGCAGTATGTATGACTATATTTTGGTTGCATCTAGACAAGTCTGGGTATGTCTGCATAGTAGGCATAACTGGCCAGACAGCAGTGCTGTCAAGCATGCTGCAGTGCTCCAGGTAGGCTGCTTCCTAGACACAAAACCAATGTAGCTGTATCCTTGTAGTACTACTGCTGAGAGAGGGCCATTCACCTCATCCCCATCCTAATCAGCCTATCTGTAGTGCCACAGATGCAGCTGCATGGCATGGCAAATATACCATGTAGACATGTCTCATCCTTGTTTAGTTTGGTGATCAGTTCATCTTTATCTACCAGAATAATGTTAAGCACGAGAACTATGACAAATTAACTACAGTACATTCTGTACTGGAAAATTACCCTCATCTCTATTATTATTATTATTGTTGTTATTATTATTTTTAGAAAATCTAAGGATATATTTATCAGTGATTGCATAAGACCTCCAGCTCATGTCCTCCTAGACTGACGTCCCTCATGATGATGTGATTTTTCTTTATAGACATTATAGATAGATTTTTAAGGAGTGGCTGGTGTGGCTCAGTGTCCTTATAATACTGCTCGTGAAAAAGCTTCATGGAAATCTAATATAACATTAACTTACCTGCAGTGGACAATGACTGGAGCATTCTTTTGTTCTGCATGCTGCATGGCCTCTTCCACTTCCTGCACCAGCTGTAACAGGGGTGGAGCTTGATCTGGTGTCTTTTGGTCCGGCCAGGATGTGTACCAGTAGTGTTTCAGGGTTCTTACTTCTTCATCCTTCTGTGACCCAGTTATATAGAAAGTTAATGCTAAAGATGTAAACATTTTCCAAGATTTTTGCTTAACAACAAATGATAATGAACCTCTGGCTTCCTCTGCCTCTTTGGGGACAGCAGAAGCAAGTCAGTGCTGAAGGAAAACAAGCATCTGCTCGACCAAATCCATGGAACACAGATTTCCTGATGTTCAGAACTGATACTGCACAAGAGCAAACTGGTAAACACTTATATATCAGCAAAAACACCACTAAAACAACTGTGCTCTTTTTCTGTGTTCTCTTCCCCATCTCTTTTTACTTAGTGCTAAAAGCTGTATGAAAAGCAGCCAAAGTCAGGTTGTTTTCTTCCTGGCATATTCATTCAGAGAGGCTAGAGGTTTGTTTGTGACATAATGACTTTTATAATGGATCTGAAAGACAAAGAGCCATATATATATTTTTCTCTCTCTCCCTGACAGGCAGGCAGATACCTATTTCTTCCTGGTGGATGTATTATATCCTATCAATAATGACTTATAAAGTATAGATCCACTCAGCAGGCAATTTAGGGACGTAGAGGGATGCGGTACTTGTACCTCTAGTTGCAGCCCTGTATTCATTGTGAGGAACAAGTCCTAGTTTCCTCATTGTAAATCACTATGAAATCAGCAAGCATGCTCCCAGTTTTGAGAAGTACTTATTAGGTCTGTATACATAGGTATTTGGGTACCCAAAATGACACACCTTGTGCCTGTTTTATGAAGATGCTGAGTGCTGCCATGGGCCCTCCGTGTTTTGCCTTGGCATTGTAGCCATTACTTGGAACAGAAGATGCTGGGTTAAATAATTTTTGTCAAAGGGTAAAAGGTATCTAACTTTCAGCTTCCCTAAACTTTCTTTAAACATATGACTACACTTTAGGCTGGATGGGGGTAGGGAGGAGGCAGAATGAGGAGCAATTTTGGCTTTTAACTAAAAACTAGAGGTAGCATTTTCAGAAGTGCCAATCTGATGTATCTATGTATCACAAGGACTTTCAATAAAACCTAGGTTCCTTTGTGCCTAAGTCCCAGGTCATCAAAAGGTATTTGGACATTTTTTTTTCAGGCTGAAAACACTGTGAGTGTCTTGAGGACCTGACCCAAAGTCTCTTTTGAAAATGAAACCTTAAGAGCCTAAGAGGTTGTCTACACCAGCCACAGACACAGCCACAGCCACAGCCACAGCCACAGCCACAGCCACAAAGTGCTATGAAAATGAACTAGCTCAGCTACCGGTACTAGGAAGCCACAGAAACACAGAGATTTTACATGAGCTAGTTCACCCTGCTGAGAAGGTATCCTGAGAACAATGATACACCACCCTCAGTTGCTGTTGCTGTTGCTTACAAATGTACACCAGCCTTTGGAGTGCAGTTGATGCATTACATCATATTTCTAATCCATTTAGATGCTGAAACATCCCATCTCTTCATATGGGAGACTGTCCATAGCACTGGAGAATCCCATGTAATTACTGGCTTCTGTGGCTTTCATTGCGGTGTCATTGATTGCAAGTGTAGCAGAGAGTGGAAGGCATCATTGCTACATTATGACAAAAGAATAGTTCCAGGCAGTGGCATCTCATTAAACAAAACCTTTATCTCCATTCCGCCCGGTGAGAACTAATTGATTATCAACTTCATTGAAACCTGAGGTAGTGCTTAATTGAATAACCAATGGGGATATGACCTTAAAGTTAATAGTCAGTGGAAAGAGTAGTTTGTGTGGAAAAGGAACTATGTACTTGACATGAAATGTCAACAGAGGCCTCAGTGTCATTTGTCACAGGATAATGCTCAAACTTCTTGGCTGTGATTAACGTGTTTTTTAAAAAGAATAAATTTAAATATTTTTCTATTGCTCTCTCCATTTCTATCTGAAATCTGCTGCTCTCTTGCTCCCTTTTTCTGCTTGGTGCTGGCTGAGGTTATCAGACAATAACATGCCAGACCTATCCAATAAGTGGTTTTAAATTTGGCCTTTTCTTGTGGGATCCTGTGTAACCATAGACACAGTAGACCCTATGTTTATCCCTGTAACAGATGCACAGCTGAGGCTGAACTCTGCTGCCCTTATTTAGTCATTTTACCAGAGGAAGCATTGTGGAGGGACTGAAAGATTTGTAATACAGCTCGCCTGCATGGCAGAAACAGGTTACATCCCTGGAGGTTTTCAAATCCTGGCTAGACAAAGCTTTGGCTGGGATGATCTAGTTGGGGATGGTCTTGCTTTGAGCAGGGGGTTGGACTAGATCAAACTCTTTTGTACCAGAACCCATCTGTAAACATTGATGGCCAGTCCCAACCCAGTGCCCCTTACTCCCAGCCTGCTGACTCCCACCCCCAGGCCCCAGCCCCCAGTGTGTGGGATAGGGGGTGTCTGTGGAGCACGGGCACAAGGGAAAAGCCATGGTTTCCCATGTTTTTCTTCTTTAAAGGAGAATCCATTTTTTAAGTTTGTTGATTCCTTTTTAAAGTTTGTTCATGACCCTTTCATATATTTTTGTGACCCATGGGTTGAGAAATGCTGGACTAGATCACCTCCTGAGGTCCCTTCCTACCCTAAAGTTTTATGATTCTAAAAAGAAAAAATTATCCAGTGGGGATAACTGTCTTAATACTACATGTAGCATGGTATTGTGGTCATTTGAGGGACCTATTTTGCACCTAGGTTTATATTTGTAGGGATAAGCAAAAGAAGAATTGTCTCCTCTTCCTTCTTCTCTTTGTTGTAGCTATCTGTTGTCTACAGCTTTACACTTAGACTGTAAACTCTTCAGGACTGTCTCTGTTATCATTTTATGCAGTGTCTACTACAAAAGGGGCTGACCTGGATGCACTATGGCCATATTAATACTAATGAGGTCTCACCAGTACACCTGGTCAGAAAATGGGGAGAGCTATCAACTTCCTGTGGAAAATATCAATGCAAGTCTTCCCAACCCTACCCTACCAAATTCTTTTTAATCAATATTTTCTATTTTGTCTTTTTATCAGAATAAGAAAGAGAAAAAGGTTTTAGTCAAATCTTGATTTTTGAATAAAAATATAAAAGTCGTTCATATTAAAACATGTTGTATTTAAGCACATTTTTGATTAACCTTGTGGATGTTGTACTCTGACAGGGATTTTGGATCCTATTGAGAAAATATTATTGATCCAGTATAACTAAAATAGCTCAGACTGTAAGACAAGAAGACTGAAGTGGAGTTAGGCTGGATATTATTCTTGCTGCTGTTTTGCACTGTCTGGGATAGGCTGTATTTAAGACTGTTGCAAATTTGTCACATATTTGGAAATAATCTTTCCTTCCCACTTATCTGGGAGTCTGATGTTAGCCTCATCTTTTGTGCCAAATGTATGACTGACAGGCTTTTCAGGCTCCAAATCCAAACATGGAATTTCAAAGGCTGGCTTTCTGCCTGTTAGCATAAGGTTGATGAGACTTGAAACTGTATGTGTGAAAGGAAGCTTGTTCTCAGCAGAGGAAGTAATACTACTGGAGCTGGTAGAAGTAAGTTCTGTAAAGGTCATGTATATAAGACTGTTTCTATTCACTAGGTAGTTTGAGACTCTAGCACCTAGTGATGAAAAATGAGCTATAAAAAGGCAATGGTACTTTAGAGCAAGTAGTAATACAATAGTTAGTATAAGGAAACAAGCCTATATTTGAGTATGTATGCATGCATCCACAGGTTATTTTAGCTAGTATGAGTTGGGAAAGCTAAGTGTTTTAATTCAGTTAGTTGGAAGGATTCTGTATTCGGAAAAAAATTAACATTTTTGGGGAAATTCTCAGCAGAAGTTATCAGCGATTTAGTCTGATTATTGTAGAATATTTTCTTTAAGTGAATTCTGTGCCAGTTTATCTAAATTCAAATAATTAGGATGATACATATCAGTCACAGTGAATAGAGGTGGAATTACTGGATCAACAACCACAAATTAGATTCATAGATGCATTAGGGAGAGGAACTAGAGACAACTCAGAGGCCAGAGGTATATAGAACAAATGATCTAGGTAAGACAATGTTATCCAGTCCTCTTTGGTGCAGTCAACCATAGTCAAACTTCAAAATTCCTCCTAGGCCACCATGTGCCCTTTTCTCCAAGCTTTTCATTGCCAAGAGAGTGAGGAGGAGTGTGATCTGTGGACCATTTACTATAGTTCACCAGTGGTCTAGGATCACAGTTTTTGCGTGGGGGCAGGGCTGGGCTGGTGCTCTTGCCTGCAGGAACAGGGGCTCTCAGCAAGGAAGGGGAAGAGGAGAGGGAGTAGCTAGCACAGAGCTGCCAGCTGCTTTTGAATGGCTAGAGCTAGGGAGGGAGCAGGGTGGAATGAAGCCCTCTCGCCTCACAGCCCCTCCACCCAGCTACTCTGCCCAACACTTTCACAAGTACAACAGCACCTAAGCTATTCACCTTAATAAAAAAACCCTATACACATACTTTAAACTATTCCCTTATTAACAGCTTCTTGAGATGCCTGTACAATCTAGGACATGTAAAACCTCACAGACAGCCAAATCCTCATTCAGTGTATGAAGGTATCCTTATCTTACACAAGCTAAGGATCTGATCCACATTGCACCGTGCTGCCTTTGTTCCATTCAGCATCATCCCTAGGTTTATCACGTTACACTAATACTGATGTCTGTACTATGGACTTATGAAGTATGGATTAAAGCAGGCAAGAAGCTATCCCTGAACTACCATGCCACCCTAAAATGACCAGTCAGCTTAGAAGACACTCACACAGAGTGACTCACTGGGTTTCTCCAGTGAATGAAAATGAAAGGTCCTATTACAAATGGCCTGGAAGTCTTCAGACTGCACATACTCAGGCTAAATCCCTGATTGCCTATACCAAGACTGGCAACTTATGGCTTACAAGCCAGATCCGGTCTGTGGAACCAATGAATCCAACCCATGGAGGTACAGCCTCAATAGCACTCAGCACTGGGAGGTTTCAGCTGCAGATGTTCTCCTTATGCCTTTGCAGAGACAAGTGACACTGGCTGCTGGGTCCTAGCACCTGCCCATCTACCCACCTCTAAGCCATGGTAAGTCATTCTGGCCCACAGCTGGAAAAGACTGCCTACCCCTGACCTGTAGTACTAGAGTGCTGACTCATTTGTGAACTGGGCAGGGACACAGTGACTACCATAATGGAAAGTTGTATGTGTTCAGCAGTATACAGCAGGTAGGGTCTATACTCAGCTCCCTTTGAACAGTCCTGTTTTAGACTGAATTTCTCTGTTATTGTAAAGGCATTTGAATGGTCTTACCTTTAGGGTAATGAGTCTTAATCGGTAATCATCTGCTTGTATGACATGGTTAACTGTGATTTCTATTCCTTCATAGGTGACCTGATCTTCTGGCCAGTATTCAGTACACTTCTGTGCAAAACATAAAATAAATGCATTTAAGCAGATGGTGCAGGAGGTTTTCTTTACTATTCTGAAATTGGTGAAGTGCCTGCTCACAGGAATAAGAATGGAGATTGTTTCCATACTAAGATGTAACACAACTTTACAGTTTGAAGACAGGGGCTACATTTTAAGGTTCTGGTCTTTTCATTCAAACCACTTTTGGTGTTCAATAAAAACTATTAAATGTACTAAATAAATAAAGGCATACAGTACCACATTTAAATGTGCAAATCCTGGCCTGTGTTTGTGCAATGTGACATAACTGCTCATTTTGAAGATTCATTTGGAATGCCAGTTGGAAATGTGGCTGCATCCTGTGCATGCATAGTAAGCTTATTGTTATTATAATGATTAATAGTTATTAATGTTCTGCATTTTGGTTATTAATATGCCTGTGCTGTGAATAAATTGTTATGGAAATATACAATACAACTTTTCTGTTTATAAAAAGAGCTGTTGCTCTCTGAATTTAGAATTGTAATCTGCATGCCTTTTTGCACAAAAGGACATGGCTGGAGATGCCTTTGCAGTATAGTTTATGCATGAAAATCCATTCTGAAATTTAAAAAAAGGATATCAAAGCTTAGGAATTGAAAGTAAGCAACAGAGGAAAGTGTTTTCAAAATACCACCTGTAAATCAGTTTAACCACAGTTGTTCTTTCAGAGCAATTCATTATGTTCAAAAAGTCTATAAAGTATAATGCACATTTAGGGTAAAATGTGGATTTTTTCCCAGATCCCTCAGCAAGCGGTAACAGAGAGCAGCACTATTCTGGGGTTGGGGGCATGGTACTGGGAAAGACTGGGTCTTTTGCATGCAGTTTCTTCCTGCTTAGTGTATGTGAGGAATATAGGGACTCTGTACCACCCAGAAGCAAGGCAGAGACTGTGACATTTATAAACCTTCCCTATAAACTGGTGTGGATTAGATGGGACCAGATAATTGTTTTCTCCCTAGCTCTGTGAAAATGGCTCCCCTGGGGTAAAGAGTGAAAGCAGCATGGCTACTATTGTGGGAAGTCTTTGCAAGGCTGTATAAAGGAAGCAGTAGAGGCGGCTTGTAAAAAACTTCCCCTCTCTGTACCTCTGCAAAGACCATCCCAATTTTGCCTTTCATCTTTAATTTAAGGAAAAAGTTAAAAAAAAATCAAAGCATGAGAAAGAGCAACAACCAAACAGTGTTACTGGACCACTTCTCTGTTGGTGTAAACAGGTGCTGTTCCTTCCTTGGAACCGCCCAATCACCACCAGTACAGAATTTGGCCCATTGTCTCAATGTAAAATTATTTACACAGATTGCATTTTTCCCCCTTCTCCTCCTCCAAAATTGCAGAATCCTTTGTAAAAATTGTCAAATGCGCCAGCAGCTATCAATAGCACAGACGCTGTACTGCTGAAATGAGTGGAGTAAGGCCGCCCACACATTTCTGTGGGCTGTCTGTCAGTTAAGATTGGATGCGACACAGGTACTGAGATACTGAGCTGTTCATCCTCACATTAGCAAAGTCATTGCCTACAGTAGGAACACAAAACCTCTTTTACTAGCGTCATGGCAGAACAAAGGTTTCAGTTCTGAATCTACGCACCTTTGAGGCCTAGTGTTCTTAGCTTAGCATGCAGGAAAAAATGGGAATATAGGAAGATGTTAGGATGAAAGATCCTACCCTATATTTAGGGCTGAGATTTATGGTACTATTTAATTGTTGACACAAAAGGTATCAGGAAAGATACATCTCTGTTAAGATGTATAGGCTGCAGCAAGCAAGCTCCACTACTGTGGTAGTAGAAGCATTGCAGTGCAGTGTTTGCTGAGGCTGACTTGACAGGGTAGAGTCTGTCAGTGATGGCAAACAGGAAACATTGATGCAAAGTTTATTTTGCATCCTTGTGTGACGTTCCAGTTCTAAAAACAACAGTGAGCAAGCTATATAGCAGAAAGACAGTCCAGGACATTATCTCCTCTTTGGCTCTTCTCCCTCCTCAGGTCTTCATGGGTGAAATTTTCAAAAGAGCTGTATGCTTGAGGAATCCAAATCTCTCTTTCAATGAAGTTTACATTTTTATTTGCCTTGTCTATGCTCTGGGCTGAGCCCTCGATTCCCAATAAGAGGCACAACCATAACAACATAAGAAATGCTATACTGACCAGTGGTCCATCTAGCCCACTAGCTTACAACTGACAGTAGCAGGAGTGGACACTTTAAACTGGATATATCTAGAGTGATCTATTCCCTGTCATACCTCCATGGCAGCTACCACCATTGGTTTAGAAATGCTACAGGATTCATTCCTGGCTGTTCTGTTGAATAATTGCTAATGGATCTATCATCCATGAATTTATCTTGTCCCTTTTTGAATCTAGATCTACTATTGGCATCCACCACTTCCTGTGGGAATGAGTTCTTCAAGTTAACTATGCGCTGCAGAAAAAAGTACTTTCTGTTGTTAGATTTAGACTTGTGTCATGCAAATTTCGGTGGGTGCCTTCTACTTCTAGTAATCCTGGGACTTGGTGTATTAACAGTTCCCTACTCACTTTATCCACAACCTTTATGATTTTATAGACCTCTATCATATCCCCACTCAGTCTGCTCTTTTCCCAACTAAAGAGTTCTAACCTTTTCAGTCTCTCCTGGCATGGCTGCTTCTCCATACCCCTGCTCATCTTGGTTGCCCTTCTCTGTACCTTTTCAAACCTTACTACCTCCTTTTTGAGATGTACCCCACTTACTTACTCCTGCTTGTGCAGGCCAGATCCCAAAAGGAGGTGCTGTAGCTGCCCTAGAGGGGCCCTGATGCGCATCAAGAACCATATCTGAAATTCATGCCTGAGAGCAGGATTAGGCTGCGTTTTCAGGGCTTCTAATAAGGTGTCTACATTGCTTCATTTCTGAGATGGGGTATGCAGAGTGGGTGAACTAGTGTGGGAGGGCCATGCTTCTTGGTGGTGTTTATAGACTTAGCACAGAGGCAAGACAAACAAGCTCTTAAGTCACTTTTGAGAAGAGGATTAGAGGTCTAAATCATTTTTGCGTTGCTATGCTGTGATATATAAATAGCTGTAAAAATCTAGTGCCAAATCATTTTTGAAAACAGGACATAGACCCCTAAGTCATTTGGACACTTCTAAAAATTTTAGTCTAGATTTATTTCTGTCCTCAGGTTGGTCACTTCTAGAAGTTCTGGTCCCTCTACAATTCACATGGCAACTTTTCTGGGAAGTCTGTGGCATGAAGTAATGATATTGGCCTCAGAACCCCAAAATAGCTGTCATGCAAACTGTAGAAACATGGGACTCTGTAGACAGAACTGTGCTGGGTGGATTGGAAAAGTAATGTGCATAACCACTGTGGCAGGCCAGTGGGGGGCGGTCCTGTGCTGAGCCATCTGCCTCACTGCACCCAACCCCTAAACCACACTTTGGGTGCTTCCCCTGGGGCAGCAGGGTGCAGAGCCCCAGTCCACAGGGGGAAGCCTGCCACCACCCTACACACAAATCCAGGAGGCACATGCCCCCTATGCCTCCCCCAGGGGTGTGCACAACCATGGGGACCTGCTCCTCTCCCCATGCCCCTGGACGAGCTGTCCGCAGCTCTGTCCCATGACCCACACCGGACCCCATTCACCCCAGCCACTGCCCCACTCCCCACCTCACTGCAAGGGCCTCAATCTGCACCTCCTACACCCCTTTCCTCTCCCCCCACCCCTCCTCCTCCACAGACTTACCTGCTGGGCGGTGTCTATGTTTGTGTCTGTGTGTGCATCTGTCTGTGTGTGTCTGTCCCTCACTCCCAAGCCATAGCCCCCCAAGCCTTGCTGCTACCCCTCACTCCTGACCCACAGTACCCCACATCCTGCCGGGGCATGCGGGGACCCCCCTCTCTGGGCTCCAAACTCCACCAAACACCCACAGCCCCCCACACCATCACAAATTTTCCCCCCACACACACACACCCCACCCCCCCAACCATGCAAAGTACCTGCATAATTTTGATTTTTTAGTTGTGTGATTAAAATCATGATTAATTGCGACTAATTTTTTAATCACGCAAGCAACTAATCGCAATCAGATTTTTTAATTGTTTGACATCCCTAATTCTAATCAGATCCAATTCTAGCAGATGGTGATTAAAAAAAAAGTTTGATACATCTTAATTGATTCCTGTTTTCTAGGAGCACTTCCTAAGGCATCAAACAACAGGGACAGTCCTTCTTATCTAAATCACTTTTAGTTCCTGCCTCTCAATAACCAGGATGTCTGATGATTCAGACCCAGCTTCCTGGAGGGAAGGATACAGGAGAAATAATGAAATACAGATATTTAAATAGAAAAATCAATAGGGCTTGAATCTGGTAGTGTCCTGTTTTTTGAAAACTTAAAAAGTGACTTCAAAGAGCAATCACAGGGCACTGTAGCTTTGGCTACTCAGTCAACTTTTAGTAAGTTGTTTCCAGGGACCTGACATTACTGCTGGAAATGGAGCCTACCATGTAGGATAGAGACTCAGTTCACATGTAAGTTCATTACCTCGTTCATCTCTTCTATATTGGTAATCATGACAATGATAGGAGAACACTCTTGCCACACCATTCTCCAGAAATCACTGACAGTATTAACTATGGGTCCCTGAGTGGCAATATATACTTTTTCCTCTCCTCCGTAGCCCTGCCAACAAAGCAACAATAAACCAGTATCATTATGTGTGCCAAGCCCTTAATAATCCAGTCTTTTCCCAAGGACAGCTACCACTGGCTACAATGGGATTATTACTTGTGTATTTATCAGTCCACAAATTACTGTGCTGGTTCTCCTCTCATTCTTTTACACACATACACACACACACACGCATACACGCACGCATGCAAGCCAAAAGGTTTGATTTCAGGATGTACAAGCTGCTGGCACTACAATAGCAATGGAAACAACTCATGCTATGATAGTCTTTTAGTGACCTGGGATGAAGTCCTGAAGGCATTATGCTGGCATAATGCCAGTTCACCTCCTCTCTCTAGCTAGTAAGAGTTCTGCTTGGTTCAGGCCAGTGCAACAGAGAACTCCATGTAAATTTAAAAAAAATGGAGGAACCACATTTCTGTTTGGTCTGAACCTTTACAACTGTGCTCTGAGGGCACGTCTACATGTGTGCCTTAATGTGCATTAGCCTATTTTAATGTGCATTAAAATGTTACTAAAAAGTCATGCTATTTAGTTAATGTGCATTAAGACAAGCTCATGAGAATTTTCCTAATACCTCACAAAGAAGGGCACCTATACACGAGCGTGGAGGCTGTTCCAATGCACTGGAATTCCAGTGCATTGGAGCAGACTCAATTAATTGAGTCTGCAGGAGTGTAGCAATTGCCACACTGCAGCAGCCTTCTGCATCTTGTGTATCAGCGTCCCTGCACTTAAAAATGTCAAGCTTTAGTTCAAGTGACCCCCACTCCCATTTTTATGTGTGGGAACACTGATACAGGAGACGGAGCAGAGTTTTAATTAAAGCAACCCCCCCCCCAAGCACATGTAAACATGCCTGGAGGTACTAGATTTAACACATTAACTAAATGTGCATTAATGCACATGTAGACAGGCCCTGAGATCCTGTTAGTAATATAAAAAAAACAAAAAGAGAGAGAAAAAGCCATCAAACCCAAAACAGGTTTTAAAGGACAAGAGATATTGTGAATGTTCTTACGCTAGTAGTGGCTAACAATATTATACTGACACAGCAAGTTGCTGAATTCTTACCCTGATGTAGTTAGCATTGATGTAAGAGCTAAGAGGATCATCTTGATCAGTTGAGGTAAGGCACACTCTGCTGTGAGGATCTGAAAAGTATAAGGAATTGGTTAATAATTATTAGTCAAGATGACCTAAGAATATTTTTGAGTCTTGAGTAATACAGCTAGTCACCCAAACACATTCATTTGTAGGTACAGCAAATATCAGTGATGTTCAAAGGTGGATATTGGGAAGCCATACTGCCACTGATGGAAAAAAAAGGTTTGGCTCATTCAATCATCCTCTGAACCTGCATAATTGCCCCTGACAGAGATAATGTGACTTGAGGATACCAAAAATTACCATGGTAGAGCATAATTGTTTCCCCAGTTCCAATAAGGCATTAGTTACTGCAATCTAATAACTCCAATCTAAATAATAATAATATAAAAAAATACTGAGAATACCTTAGGAATCACTGACATTTTTCACAAGCAGTTCCCTTTTCAAATTGCACCAGCTGAGCCCTGAGTTGTGCTATCAACAGAAACAATACCGTTCAAGAAACAAAACGAGAAATGTATTGAGTCCAGAACACACAGCGTAAGTTTGGTGGCTAAGCAATGCTGCTTCCCCTCCTAGAATTTGGTTAGGAGACATCAATATGCCTTCAATTCATATTTCTCGAAGGTCCTGTCCAACTTCTATGGAAACCAATGGGAGCTTTTCCATAGGAGCTGGATCAGCCATATATGCATCCATTTTCGTGGGTAGCATGCAGAGGTCATCACAGGTAAAGTAGGGATATTTTTTAGTAGGTGCCTGAGCTAGGATTCAGCAGCCCATCATCCAAAGAAATATGGAAAAATAATCTGGAAAGAATTTCCTCCCTGCATGATCTTGGAAGATTAATCTGAAGTTAGGCCACACACACACACACACACACACACACACACACACACGCACACACACACACACACACACACACGCACACACACACACACACACACACACGCACACACACACACACACACACACACGCACACACACACACACACACACACACGCACACACACACACACACACACACACGCACACACACACACACACACACACACTCACATATATAAACCATAAGCTTTCATGAACCCAAGTTCACTTCATGATGCTGTGAAAGGACAAGCAGAAAGGTGAAACCACCTTGGTATAGCTCTGGAAGTTTGAATACAAGTCTTCTTCTGAACTCATGTCAAAGGCTGCTCCTAGATGACACAGCTGCAAATGGGTAACTGGTCATATAAGCTAGCTAGTAGTCAAAGTCAGAAAACATAATTTTAGCCATATTACTCCCTTGTGTGGCTAAAGAAAAATTGTTAACCTGGGGTGGTCTGCTGACTTGACTGATTAGAAAACATATACTTCAGTTTACTGAGAAGGTAAAGACAAATTTACATTTATCTTGCATGCAAAGTTATTTTTACACTTCACAAAATGTTAAGAGCTGAATATGTAGCAATTCCTATTGCCAATATCCCGTGTTACTCTCTGTATAATTCTATATAATCAAATTGTGTTCTAAGTCACACAGGACTCATTTTTATTCTTAATTATTAACTTGTATTTTTATATTTCATGTAACTGGGCTTCTGACCCAGTTAGAATCAGGGACCCACAGTACTAGAAGCAAATTTTTCATAGAATCTGTAGTCCCAAAATACTGGGACAAAAACTACCTTTAAATACAGGGAAATTGCACCCATATAGCTGAGTGTGCAACTTGTCATTTTATCTCTTTTTCACATTTGTTGGAATGATTTCGTTTTGGAGCACAAGAAAAAAAAATCTAAATTATTGCCCAATTAATTCTATTAGTTTAATATACTGGAAGCTGCTGTTTGGAATTACCTTGTTCAAAAGTGTATACATGCACTCTTCATGGGTGGGGGAACCTAGAGGAATTAAATCAAAAAGCATAGGACAGCTCTGCCAAAGTAGAGCACAGAGAAATGTTTATCTCAGGGGTGTCAAAAATGTAGCCCACGCACCAGATCCGGCCTGCAGAGCTGTATCACTTGGCTGCCTGCTGTATACAGTACATGCTGGCCCTGTACACTGTATGAGGCATGCAGAGCCTATGGTGTGGGCTGCACAAGGCATGGGGCTGGTCCGGAGTGTGCACTGGATGTGGTGCCTGCACTGGACCAGCCCTACATGCTGGATTTGGGTCAGCATAGCCCACACAGGGCTGGACCTGTGCCAGATTCAGCCTGCAGGGCTGGTTTGGTGTGGGCATCACAGGCAGTGAGCACGCCAGAGTGGTCATGTGTGCTGCATGCTGTGCTGGGCTGAAGCCAGTGCGTGGTGCATGCAGTGAACAGAGCTAATGCATGCTAGATTTGGGGCTGGACCAGGTTGGGCACATAGACTGACTGTGTGCCAGATCCCATGTGTAGGGTTGTCTGGTGCGGGTGCCGCATGCAATGCATGCCTGATGGACTCTGTGTGCTGTGTGTAGTGTGTGCCTGGACTGGCCCTATTTGCTTGAGTGCCATGTGCAAAGCCAGGGCATGCTGCATACGGTACAAGGGACTACAGCTGGTACATGCATTTCAAGCAACACATGCATCCAGTTCAGAGTGTGTGTTGCATGTGGTGCTTACAGCGGACCAGTCTTGTAGGCTGGACCCAGCACATGGGGCTGGTCTGAAGCCCGATCCAGCCCTCAGACTGACCCTGTATCCCTCATCCAACCTGGCATGGCCAGATGAGTTTAACACTCTTCTTGTAGGTCATAACACAGCCTGAAGACAAAATAATGTGATATGGAACCCTTGCTTTGTGAATGACTAAAGAGGGTATATGATTAGATTTATCCAATGCTGTCAGATCTCATGATTTGCTATGATTTTTGTGATATTTGGTGTTTTATTCTAGAAGCCTCAGTTGCCAGAATCTCATGATTTTTCAGCTTTTATTGAAAAATAAAAATAATGTTTCTGGCCCTCATAGCTGCAATGAACAACTGACTAAGGGATTCCTTGAGGATCCAGAAATGGAAGAAAAATAAAGCAAACTTGAAATTATTATTTTTAATACCCCAATAATTTTAAAGGCAATTTCATGATTTTTTTTGGAGGACAACTTGTGATTTCTGAATACCCCAAAGTAGCAATTCTGTATAAGCTTGTATGTCAGCTTGTGCCAACTGACATGACACTGTTCAAATCAATGAATCTATGATAATTTATTCCAGCTGAATGACCTGTGGGTCATTAATTTTTCTTTATGTTTCTCAATCTCAGGTCCTCATAGGGCCCCAGCTTACCCTGGTATCTGAGCACCTCATGGTCTTAAGTATATTTATGTTCATAATACCCTTGTGAAATAGAGTAGTGTTACTAATCCCATTTTACACATATGGCCCCAGTTACACATTACATATATTAAACAATTAAATGGTTAATCTTGCAATAAATTTAGATCCAAAGTAAGGCACCCTCTACACAGGGGTTGTACAATTAACTGGTTAATTACACAATTAACGGAGACCAACTACACATGCAAAGTACCTATCACACTATTAAAAAGCCCAACCAGCTATAAAGTT